CCCACGCCGCAAACCCTCCACAAAAAGTTGAACCCTATACCAACCCGAAATTAACACCAAACCCCATATTCGCTCTATACTAACCCTGGACCCTATATCAACCCTAAATTAACCCTAAACCCTATGCACCCTACATCAACCCTAAATGAAACCCTATAGTAACCCTATATATATATAAGCCTAAACCCTACATTCACCCTATACTAACCCTAAACCCTAAACCCAAAAAAAAACTAAACCCTACATTAACCCTATATATATATATATGTATACCCTACACCCTACATTAACCCTATTATGAGCCCCAAGCCCTACACTCCCCCTTCCCCTCCAGCGATGAGGACAAGGCGCCCAGCTGCCGGCGCTGCCGCGCCGTGGTGGGCGATCTGGGGTCCACGGCGCCCCCGGGCGAGCCGCAGCTGGACGCGCAGGGGGTTTCTTTGGGGTTTAGGGTTTAGGGTTTAGGGTTTAGGGTTTAGGGTTTAGGGTTTAGGGTTTAGGGTTTAGGGTTTAGGGTTTAGGGTTTAGGGTTTAGGGGTGTTGTTTTTTGTATAGGGGTTCTTCAGGGCTTCTAGCGGTTGTAGGGTTTAGGGGGTGAGTTCCGGATTGGGTCTTGGGTTTTGGGATCTTTGTCCAGAGTCGAGGGTTCTTTCTCTGGCCTTCCAGCTATGAATTCACCCTGGAGCTCGGTTCTGGCTAGGGATACCCGTTTTAGGGTTTAAGGGCTTAAGGTTCAGGATTTAGGGTTTTATATATAGGGTCTAGGGTTTTAGGGTTTAGGGTTTAGGGCTTTTTGGCATTGTCTTCAAGATTCGAAGAACCATGGAACACGAAAATCGATGCGAAGCATGCCAAAAAGGGGCTCGGTGTGTTGGCGCGGCCCCGAGATAAGCCCTTGAGAATTGAGAGCCTAAGCCCTACATTCCAGGATTTTTGATTTTGTGTTCAGGGTTTCGGGTTCAGGGTTTAGGGTTTAGGGTTTGGGGTTTAGGGTAACCCTAAACCCAAACCCTAAACCCTAAACCTAGGGTCACCTCTTGTGCCGACGAGAAAAGGCATTGGTTCCACTGCGCCAGCTGTCGCGCAGCCAACGCGACGTCGCCGGACCTCTGCCGCAGCTGCGCAGTTTTGTTCCATGGCACTTAAAGGTTGGTTTAGGGTTTAGGGTTTAGGGCTTAGGGCTTAGGGCTTAGGGGTTAGGGTTTCGGGTTTAGGGTTTAGGTTTTTGGGTTTAGGGTTTTGGGTTTTGGGGCTTAGGGGATTGGGGGGGGGGGGGGGGGGTTCCTCAACCTCCCACCTTGAACCCTGATAATCCTTAATAATTTTGAACCTCAACGAGCCCCAATGCCTGGCCCCTTAATCCGGGAACATATCGCAACACAGGATCCTATGTGGTCGCACGCACATTCCTTAAGGCAAGGGGTATTGGGCTCCCCTAACTACGTAGACCATTGTTATTCATAAACCTTAAAACCCCATTACCGTAGATCCTTTGGGGTCTTGAGCTCGCTGGGACTTAATGGTGTGGTCAGCCCAGCTAGGCAGGAAGGAGGCTAGTGTTTAGGGTTAGGGGGTTGAGGGGTCATGGGACTACCTTGACCCCGAAGGTTGTACCCTTGGGTTTGGACATGTTTTTTCAGCATCCTCTGAGAGAATTATGGGCCACATTAGGGGTATGTTCAGGGAACCTCTTGGGGGTACATCCTTAGGGGACCAAGTTGACGTAGACGGCGGTTTAGGGTCTAGGACTCAGGGTTAGAGCTTCCAAGTTCAAACAAGAACAGGATTAGAGATGCACAAGGGTCCTTTGCTTGCCTACGTGGGAATGAGGTTCCCTTGAAAGCATATCCCGCCCCCCCAAAAGTTGCCCCATATGGGACCAAACCCATGTTTTTAGCAAACTAAGGGGCGATTCCGAAACCCTAAGCCCGAAACTGGGTTTTGAGTACCAGACTTATATTACTTTTTTTGGTTGTGGGTTCCTACTATAGCTACCTATGCCCAAAAAGTATATACTTTTTGCCAGGGTCTACCTCCAAAGAAGGGTAAACCCTTGTCTGCTTCTTTGGGCCTGCGCACGTACCTAAGCCAAGGTGATGTTTTGGGAAGCACGGGATGCTTGGGCTTCTTCAAAACTCACCCGCAGAAAGAAGGGTACACTTGTAGCACTAGTAAACTTAGTAGTTGAGTGAGCACACTTTACACTTTTCGGGATACTATAATCTCTACAAGACTAAAAGTGTACACTCTTTGGGTCTTATGAACTAAGTAAACAAGACATAACCAGAAAGCCAAGGAAAGCGGCAAGAATAACAAGCAAGAAGGAGCGTTGTAATCATGTTACCAGGACAGGCTCTTCGGCCTTATTATCCCCATAATCACCTTAAGCCCTGAGCCCCTAAACCCTTTAGAGGGCCTTTCGAAGGGGCTGCCGGGTACAAAAAAAACCATCCTGGATTTGAGCACCTAAACCCTAAGCCCTAAATCCCTAATCCCTAAACCCTAAACCCTAAACCTTAAACCCTAAACCCTAAACCCTAAACCCTAAACCCTAAACCCTAAACCCTAAACCTGCACCTAAAGAGAGGTACTGCGCTGCTGGCCACGAACTGGAGTGGCCACTTGGAGCCGTGCAGGGCTTGTGGGGGAGAACCCTAAACCCTAAACCCTAAACCCTAAACCCTAAAACCCTAAAACCCTAAAACTAAACCCTAATACCCTAAAACCCCAATAGCCTAAACCCTAAGCCGGGCGCCATCCTAGACTCGTAACCCCTGACCCCTGTTGAGGTTGTTAGGCCTTGCCATGAGGGAGGAAAGAAGACCAGCGGGCCTGGGAAGGACGACAGAACACGTGAAGCAACCCACACAACTTAGTGTAGAGTAGCTAACCTTTGAGCTTTTTGGAGTAATATCGACACGAGTCCTCACATTACATGCGACTCTGTATATTAGTATATGCAGGATGCAGAGGGAGAGGGAGAGAGAGAGAGAGAGAGAGAGAGAGAGAGAGAGAGAGTGAGAGAGAGCGAGAGAGCGAGGGAGAGAGAGAGGGAGAGGGAGAGGGAGAGGGAGAGGGAGAGGGAGAGGGAGGGAGATGGAGATGAGATAGAGAGAGAGAGAGAGAGAGAGAGAGAGAGAGAGAGAGAGAGAGCGAGAGAGAGCGCGGAGAGAGAACGAGCGAGGGAGGGAGGGAGGGAGGGAAAGAGGGAGTCACAACTCGAAACACCACATGGGCCCACCCGCCCACCCGAGAGCACCGAAACGTGGGCCCTAAACCCTAAACCCTAAACCCTAAACCCTAAACCCTAGACCCTAGACCCTAGACCCTAAACCCTAAACCCTAAACCCTAAACCCTAAACCCTAAACCCTAAACCCTAAACCCTAAACCCTAAACCCTAAACCCTAAACCCTAGACCCTAACCCTTGCTCCAATCAAGGATCGCAAGCTTCAAGGGCCTGAAATCGGTGTGCCAGAGCTGCGGCACTTCCGGGCGCCTCAAGGCCGGGGAAAGGAGGGCTCTTTGGGGGCTTTTTAGGGTCAAGGAAGGTACAAGGGGGAAAAACGGGGTTTAGGGTTTAGGAAAAAGGGTTTAGGGTTTGGGGTTTGGGGTTTAGGGTTTAGGGTTTGGGCCTAGTGGGCTTTTTGGGGGGTTTGCAAGCAGGCAGCTCGTGAGGCGTCGTAAGGACACAGGACTCAAGCCTATTTTTGAACCCTCCGGCTTCTCGGCCGGTCTTTGAGAACCACAGCCACACGGAACCGCGGCTATCCCTAACCCTACGACTTACCAATATGGGCGGCCGTCAAAATTATGATCCCTTTTGGGGTACCCCCAATACTAGGTGCCGTATACTAATCGGGATCCAAAAAGGGACCACAATTTTGACAAACACCCATATGACGATCCTGCGGTGTGTAAGGGGTGGGGTACAACACTCTAGCCCTTCACTTCTTGTCAAGGGTGGGTAGAAAAAACTGCCCGGATCAGCATGGGGTAAGGGTTTATGGTTCACATACCTTAATCGTACTTTTATTTGTATAGGGTATATGACCCCAATTTTAGGGTTCGTATGGTCCCCAAGGTATATTATATACATATACCTGATACAATTCATATATACCTAATAGGACGAAGTTGCCCCAATGTTGCTGCTAAGGTCCCTTATAAGGGTCCCTCCTGCAGTGCCTTGATTGGGTCTGTGGTTCATGTCCCTTAATGGTAACTAAGGTATATGAGCCCTAAAGCCTAAACCCTAAACCCTAAACCCTAAACCCTAAACCCTAAACCCTAAACCCTAAACCCTAAACCCTAAACCCTAAACCCTAAACCCTAAACCCTAAACCCTAAACCCTAACCCTAAAACCTTAAACCCCAAACCCCAAAACCCTAAACCCTTAACCCTTAACCCTAAACCCTACAAACCCTATAAACCCTTTAACCCCACACCCTAAGTATGACCCCAATGTTAGGGCTCTTATAGTCCCCCCAAGCCCTTAAACCCCAAACCCTAAATATGACCCCCAAGTTTAGGGCTCTTCTAGTCCCCAAGCCCTTAAGCCCCAAACCCTTCATATGACCCCCAATGTTAGGGCTCTTATAGTCCCCAAGCCCTTAAACCCCAAACCCTAAATATGACCCCCAAGTTTAGGGCTCTTATAGTCCCCAAGCCCTTAAACCCCAAACCCTTCATATGACCCCCAATTATCGGGCTCTTCTAGTCCCCAAGCCCTTAACCTTAAACCCTAAACCCTAAACCCTAAACCCTAAACCCTAATTATAGGGCTCTTTTAGTCCCCCCAAGCATGGGGGTTGCGGATCCAAGCAGCGACAGGTGTACCACTGCTCGCAGTGCCAAGAGGCCATGTGGGGGGAGCGGTTTAGGGTTTGGGGTTTAGGGTTTAGGGTTTAGGGCTTAGGGTTCCGTAGCCATTTTGGCTCAAGGTTTGGCTACGAGGCTCTAACGAGCAGAATTGTTCAATTCGTACCGCTCTGCTTGCAATGGAAATTCAACAAAAGAAGCGTCTCATTTCATGCTTGGCCTACTCACGACGTATCTCTTCCAGGCTTGGCTGCAGTGCACTCACGCTGAGCCTGACACATGCTCTTCATGACCTTGCGGGATCCAAGTCTAACAAGGCTGGGAGGTGCATCAGTTTGTATTGTTCTTTGGGACTGGACTGTGAGGATCTTTCTTCGGGGCCCGACTCAGGAAATCAGTCAGGTGCACCTGCTCTGGAGAATCCTGGCTCGAGGGTGTTTGTGGCGGATTCAAACACGTTTCGCGGCGTCCCTTCGGAAGAGGTATTGCTGGACAAGAGCTCACAAACTGAAGAACGGATTTTCGACGAAGCCCAGATCCTTGCGTGGACGAAAGACATCGAGCAGACAGCCCGACGGTCCATGGCTGACCTCGCACAGAAACTTGAGCGCATGGAGCAGCAGTGGACCATTTTATCTGATGACCAGTCCCTTGCTCATCTACAAAGTCGGTTGGCGATTATGGAGCAACAGCACGAACGTCTGTCAGCATCCTCGCCAGTGGATAGAGCTAATGCCGGTGCAATTTCGAGCGAGAGGGCGAGCTTGCTCCGGACGGACAGTTTGTCACGCTCCTCATGTTCGAGGTATCCGGCAACATCAGCTTCAGAACCTCATTCCCTGCAAGGCCTAAGGGAGGCGCATGCGGCGCAAAGGAGGGTATTGAAACAGCAACGACGGGAGGCTCGCATGCAAGCACGTCGACTCGATGCAACTCATGACGCAGATTGCACAGTTGTCACGGAAACTTGTACAGCAGGAGCTTAGCTTTCCTTTCAACCAGTTGTTCTCGGTAAGGTGAAGGGTCCTTGGTAGTCTGCTCGGAGAGCGACTGCTTGTGTCCTGCCTCCGCCACACAGTCGAGTAGGTTGGGATCTAAGGGCAATCCAGTCGAACTGCGAAGCCTGTTGCAAAAGGGCTTAGGGTTTAGGGTTTAGGGTTTAGGGTGGTTTAGGGTTTAGGGTTTAGGGTTTAGGGTGGTTTAGGGTCATTTAGGGTTTAGGGTTTTAGGGTTTAGGCACTCTTTCCCTTTTTTGCTTCAAGGGTTCCCTTACCACGGAGCCAACTCCCCAAAAAGGGGTGCCCTTATCATAGTACGGTAAACCCTAAACCCTAAACCCTAAACCCTAAACCCTAAACCCTAAACCCTGAACCCTGAACCCTGAACCCTGAACCCTGAACCCTGAACCCTGAACCCTGAAAGCCTAAGCATAGTACAGTTACAAGCCACTCAGGGAAGTGCTCCTTCCTGGGCACATTGGGTAAGTGCTACTGGGAGGTTCAGGATACTTAGTACCCCAATTAGAAGTGTAGTTCTAACCCACACATATGATCACATATGCGCCTTAAGTGCCCGAATAGGGTTATAAGTGGGTTACTGAGTACAGCTATCATTGGGTTACTAAGTGCCCTGAACCACAAACTATAAACCCTAAACCCTTAACCCTAGACCCTAATTGATTGGGTTTCTCAGTACCATGGACCTCCAAGTAGGAGTCGCCTTGTTTCCCTGGGCCAGGCCCGCTGTGAAGTCATGCTTCTCGGCGATCATGGGCCTATCCGAAATCTGATAAGGATGTTGTGGCACCCCCCCCAAAAAAAAAACAAAAGTTCCAAATATAAGAAGAAAATACTAATCACAAAAGTCATAAATTATTAGATTATTAGATAAACAGAAGCCGGTGTATCTTGCAAACAGGTTGTTTCGGCTTCACAGTCTACAGGGCTTTAGGGTTGAGACTACCTTGCAAGCTCGCTCGTCGCGCAAACCCTAAACCCTAAACCCTAAACCCTAAACTCTAAACCCTAAACCCTAAACCTAAACCGCAGCCCAAGGTATCCGACCGGCTTGGCGGCAAAGGCCGACGTCAAACTCGGGGGGCGTGCCGGGGACGTCAAGGCAAGGCATGGGTGAAAGCTTGGCACAAAAGGCTTGGCAAGGCAAACCCCGAACCCTAACTAAACCCTAAACCCTAAACCCTAAACCCTAAACCCTAAACCCCACATAGAGCATGCAAGGAAGGTTACCTGAGTCTTTTCGACGAGTTCTTCTCCCCAAACCCTCGGGAGTGAGTCAGGGAGGGATCTGGGCCTATAACATAGGGGTCGGAAGAATTACTGATAGCATTCCCTTATGGTCCCTTTGACCCTATACCCTAAACCCTAAACCCTAAACCCTTTGCAAATTCTGCCAGAATGACGCCCAAAGTCCCATTCTAATTATTCAGGCCCTAGACTAGGGGCTTTTGATGCTCAAGCTTCGGAGCGACTGGAGGGTTCCTTTTCGGGGGTTTGTAGGGGGGTTTAGGGTTTAGGGTTTAGGGTTTAGGGTTTAGGGTTTAGGGTTTAGGGTTTGGGTCTATCGGGTTAAATCAACTTTTTTTTGGGCACGGCCTCCAGAATTTTAGGGTGTCGACACGGTGTTGTCGGTGGAGGTCATGGCAGTCGCACCCGGTGGGGCTGCGGCAACGGCAGGGGTTGTCGCCGGCCACCGCCCCCTGGCAGAAACCCAAACCCTCAACCCTGACCTCTACGAGGTAGGCCCTTGGGACATGTTGTGGTTTTCCCTTGTTGGGTTTAAGAGGATCATATTCAGGAACTTGTTTTGCTCAGAGGGTTCTAATGGCCATATCCTAGTCTATACTCCTTCCTTAGGCCCTAAACGCGAAACCCTAAACACTATACCCTGTGATCATCCTACCCTTCTTCTGCATATGTTGCATTGTTTGAGGTTAGGGTGTGGAAGCCTCTGTCTCAGGTCTCCTGGCTGTCAACGACCACGCGCCCGCGGTGGCCTCCGGCGCAATGTTCGATGGCGTCCCATGGCTCCCTTTTGAACCCTAAACCCTAAACCCCAAACCCTAAACCCCAAACCCCAAACCCTAAACCCCAAACCCCAAACCCTAAACCCCAAAGCCTAAACCCTAAACCCCGAGGTTCGGCTTGGGGTTTGGGTTGGAGGGTGTAGGGTGGTGGCCGTGCGGTCTTGGGTGTGATTGTTTCTAGGGCTTTAGGGTTTCGGATTTAGGGTTTAGGGTTTAGGGTGGCCTTGCGGTTTAGGGTTCGTTTGGGGTTCAGGGTTTCGGGCCTGATTTACACGGTTTCAAAAGCAAGGGTGGGCTACTCGGACGTAGAATCCCCATACTCAACCCAAAACAAAGCACATGTAGACCCAATCTTGTCTTGACGTTGCGTTCCTTCTGGTCTTTATGGCTGGCCTTTCCTCGAAAATCGATAGGGTCCCACCCTCAAGCGATAAGGGTAGAACGGTAGAATGGCCTATCCCTCAACCCTACACCCTAAACTCACTTTAAGGGTTACAACTTTGGACGTTCCCCGGAATCTAAAAGTCCTTCACGGGGATTATACTCCCCATTAAGGACGGCTAGTATAAGGGGGAACATCCCAAGTTACGGACCCTAAACCCTAAACCCTAAACCCTAAACCCTAAACCCTAAACCCTAAACCCTATACCCTAAACCCTAAACCCTAAACCCTAACCGGAGCCCATCCTTGCGTTCGGGTTTAGGGATTCTGGCGCTTTGTCAGCGGGATCAGAACCCAAAAGTATTCCAGTTCTCTCTGCCCCCCTTCCCCCCCCCCCCCCCCCCCCCCTTATTTTTAGGGTTTAGGGTTTAGGGTTTAGGGTTTAGGGTTTAGGGTTTAGGGTTTAGGGTTTAGGGTTTAGGGTTTAGGGTTTAGGGTTTAGGGTTTAGGGTTTTTTTTTTGAAACCTTAAAGCCTAAACCCATGTTGTCAGGCTTTGCCAAAACCCCAAGCATTACAACCCCAGCGCCCCAAAGCGCGAGCCCACACCCACCCTCCTCCTCTTTCCCGGGCCCACTCCAACTCTGGAAGCCTGTGAGTTATAGGGTTTTAGAAAAAAGGGCTGAAACGCTAACTCCTATGGACCCTAAAGTGCTGTGGGCAAGGGCGGGTGGCAAAGAAAGGAAACTGCACCCCTGGAAACCCGAACCCCTAGACCCTTTAAGCCACTACCTTGCACCCTAAACCGTTTAACCTCCTAAGCCCTTTAAACCCCTCACCCCCCAAACCTTAAACCCTTTAACCCCCAAAACCCTAAACGCTAATTCCTGAACCCCAAGCTTCCCACACCCTACCCAGGCCGCCCAGCAGTACTCCTGATCCCCTGTGTGAAGGTTTCAGGTTCCCTTTTTGAGACCCCATGAAACGAAGTTCGGGTTTAGGGTTTAGGGTTTAGGGTCTAGGGCTTAGGGTTTAGGGCTTAGGGTTGGTATGAAACCCCTGCCGACCCCAAGCCCACACTCACACCCAGGACGGTAGAGATCGTCTTGCCTCGTCGCCCTACCTTTTTGGGGTTTAGGCTGAAATCCGCGAGCCCTAAGCCCCCCCCCCCCCCTCCCTATATGCACCTATTCGAACCCCTAGACCCTAAACCCTTCTTGTAAACCCTGAACACCTATGAACACGCCCCAAAAAACCTCAAGGTCAAGGACCAGGCGGCTGCTCGAATGAAGCGATCGCTGCATCCACCCAAAGGTTTGACTGGAAAGCGCTTCGCTTTGCTCCAGAGGATTTATGAACGGAACTTTGGGATGCCAACTGTAGGTCAGGGCATAAGGAATCTCCAGGGAGAACTCTAGGGTTTAGGAGGTAGGGCTGGGCGACAAAACCCCTCAAACCCCCACAACCCCCACAAGAGAGGTAGCTTTGTCACTTTGTTCAAAAGGCAACTGGAACACTTAGATTGCAAGACTTCAGAAGCTCAGAGGTTGGTTTAGGGTGTAGGGTTGCGGGTGTTGGGCTTAGGGCGCTTCCCAACTTTTCCCCCCCCCCCCCCCCCCTCAAACGGACACCCCAAAAAATGACCCCAAGCATTCGGGGCAAACCCCGTATCCAAAGCTTTGAAGCCAGCACGTACTTGCAGGTTCATGGTACTTATTAACCAACAAGAACTGTACTTAGACCTGTATATATCACCATATTGGGGCACTTAAGTGGCTTATAATTACAGCTATAATTACAGGTATAATTGGTTAATGAGTACCATGAAGCCTCCACGTAAGGTCCTGCTGGAGTTCATCGCAACTGCAAACTTCGACGTTACGGTGGAGACAGCGAAAGGTTTACAGGAGCCAACAGTTTTGGGGTGGAGGGTTTGTCCCCAAGTTGGGTTTAGGGTTTAGAGTTTAGGGTTTAGGGTTTAGGGTTTAGGGTTTAGGGTTTAGGGTCGTTCACTCTTCAAACAACGGGAATCTCGCAGTGGTAAAGCCGCACGCCAAAACTCCAGACCCTGCCCCTAGCCCTCGACCCCGTATTAACGAAAGGTACCGCATCCGTGAACGACTCCTCTTAAGAAAAGCAACCGCTGGCCCGGTGGCAGCGGTGTTGTCTCAGAAGTGCCACATACCGATTGCCACGCAACTTCTTTTGCTTTCGGGGTCAGCCTGAGATCACGACAGTGTGCAAAGGGTCCGCTTTTAGTCGTACTTCAATGAAAACCATGGCAGGTGCAGCACTTTGCAACCTGTCTCGCCGGAGCGTGCTCAACAAAAGTTTACTTTGTCCAAGACGCAGGGTATTCTGAAAGCATGTGCTGCCTGATAAGCATGCACATGTCTGTGCATCTAGTCCCTGCCAAAGAAGGCTCCTACTCTTCTTGCAGAGATTGCAGCTGCAACGCAATTCGGATCAACTTCGGATGAACTTCTTGAGGTGGCACCATGTCAGAGGCACGTTTTGAATCAAGGCACTGACATGCAAATGCAGCTGTCGATGTCTACGAAG